CAACACTCCGCACTCGACATAAACACGAAGCAGGCACTGGTGGTGCAGCTTATATGAGCAATCACCGCGACTGGTGTCAGAGGGTCAACGTTAAGATTTCATGAACTATCTAACGCACAGAATGCGGAGTGATCAAACATGGTGATGAAACATTGAATCAACCACTTATTCAATGTAAATCACCGCTCCGCACGTTACGTAAGCATTTAGCACTCAGTAATGGTGAGTTTAATTTCATTTATTTTTTGCACTCACTGATTTATTTACTAACGATTATATTTTTAATCAGCAACCTAAATATAATCAACAACCATTTTTCATTCCACTGCTCGGAAATTTGCAATGGAAATGGTCTTGTTTATTAACTAATTAATTGCATTATGCATTGCAAATTTGACACTTAATTAAAAAAAAAACTTGATATTAAGTGACGCATAATGCCGATGAGAGTTTTTCTACCGTAACCATCCTAATAGAAAATAATTTTATTGCATAATCATCCTATTTTATCTAAATGGTATAAATCGTGTAAATTTGTTCAAATACGATACAACATCAGTCACCATAATCTATATTTGCCAAGTTAAATTTTATTTTATTCATCAAGGGAAAAACAATCTTAGGTATGATACATATGATTTATATAAGCAGAGGTGGGCAGTAGCGCGCTACATGTAGCGGCCGCTACATTTTCAGTAGCGGTAGCGGTAGCGGTAGCGCCCGCTACATATATATAAGTAGCGATACGAGGTTTTGCCGCTACAGCGCTACCGCTACATTTATAGATAAAGTCTTCAAATAGTATAAAGTCTAGTAATAATAATAGTCTTTTTTAAATAGTATTAAATATATTATTTAAAAACCAGCATGATACATACATAATATAAATTATAGAATAAAACTGTACGAAAGATTTCAGTGTAATGTTGTTAACCTCAGCCTGTTACTAGTGTTAACATGTTAGTTGTTACTTGTTAAGTTGTTACCAGATACCACTTAATGGTATTTTTTCATGTTTCAGTTTGCTTACAATTATTTTTATGTTTCACCTTCCCTACATGGATGTCTACTTTAATCTACCAATCTCAAAAATAATCCACATATATATACAAATAAAAGACTAATTTTTGATAGGTATGTACATATATGTGGATAATTTTTGAGAATAGTAGATTAAAGTTGACATCCATGTAGGGAAGGTAAAACATATAAATAACTGTAACTTTTATTTACTGTATCTAACCCGTAGGGCAGCTCGCCCCCCACTTTTTTTAAACTAAAATTTTAATGAAGTTTTGATTGATACGAGGTGGTTCTTTGTTTTGTTTAAAGGTACATATAATGAGGAATGTATGATGTGAATTAGACGCCTATAGAGTTATTCAATTTTTCATGAAACACTATTTTGTAAAAAGTGTCAAAATGGGCCCATTGCCCCACCCCTGGGGCAATGGGCCCATGGGCTTGGGGCAAGGCGCCCACCCTTGGTCCCTTTACCACAATTGCATATTTTTCGTTTAAAAATGATAAAACAACACTTTACAGTTAAAAATAAGAAAAATGTAATAAAAAACATGACGTTCATTCATTTATTAACAACTCAAAAAATCATATCCATAACTTGAAAAAAATATACTTTTGGCTTAAAAAATCTATCACTGACGTGAAGAAAAGTATTTCATTGACATAACAATATATATCCTTGACTTGAAAAAGATAACCTTGCGATAAAAAATTCGTCCTTGACATGAAAAAATTTATCCTTGACTAGAAAAAATATATTTAGTTGATCAGAAAAAAACTTTGTTCCAGTTTCGTCCATAATCCACATATTATGTGCGGAGAATTCGTACCTAATCGTGATTTCAGCCAACACCATAAAAACTCAAGAACTTTTGGCTCATTGGTGTTGACTGAAATCAACTTTTGGCAAGGCAAGAGTCAATAACTCGATTAGGGGTCATAAATACGCATAAATAGAAACAAAACCTGCTGCCTTGAGGCGGCAAGTCGAAAAATCATGCAATATGAAGTGTGATTGGTAATTCAAAAGCTAGTCATAGTATGAAAAGGTCATTGAGACAAATCTAATGATGTATAACACAAGATTTCACCATGGGCGCTTTGCCCCGTGACACGCATGGGCCCGTTGCCCCCACTAGGTATCATTTCAACTTATATCGTGTCAACATTTTATTTTGAAAGCTAATAGTCTAAACTTGATCTCAAAATTACCCCTATAAATATAACTTTCAAAATATAATCCAAAGTAATTTCAAAAGCTTCATCTACAGTAATCGAAAACATTTTTATTTATATAGCAGCAAAAAAAAATTTTTATCTTTGCTAAAACAGTTATTCACAAATAACTTAATAATATCCCAGTGAAACTGTCGACCGGCGGTAGAGAACACGGACCAATATCTGCCATACTTAGCGAGAAACCCGCTATGGGCCCATGACCCGCAGTGGGCTCGCTGCCCCATGTTACCCTACTAGTTCGGTTAGGTTAATTGCAATAAAGTTGCATTGATATGTTTTGAAAATGTTTATTATCAATAAATGTTTATGAGTATATCCCAATAGCAGATCAATAAATATTTAGAGATTCCCAATAATTTTGGCCATTGTAGCGGCTAATGTAGCGGCGCTACATTTTACTGTAGCGGTAGCGGCCGCTACATTTCAAAGTAGCGCTGCCCAGCTCTGTATGTAAGTATATCCAATAAATCATAAGTATGAAAAGCGTATCAATTAATAGTAAATTCAATAAGCAAACACATGCATTGGTGGCATGAGATCCGAGATTTTAGATTCATTTTAATACTAGAAAAGTTTAGTATTACATGAGCGTGGGAAATGAGCTGAAAACTTCGCAAGCAACACGTACTCTTTACCACCCGTCAAAATATGAAAGCGGGCATTAAATCGGACTATCAAAAAATTAAAATGGGAATCAGGCGGAGTTTGATTTCATTCCCGCTTCTATTTGATGATAGTACGTACGTGTAGGCCTTTGCTAGTGACCGTATATTGTGTCTGATTCCTGCCTCAATATTTTTATGGTCACTAGCAACGGCCAATCGTTCGCTCGCCGCTGTTGTACATAAAAAAATTGAAGCGAAAACTATGTGGCGTCAGATTAATTAATTTTCGCTTCAATTTTTGACGGTCACTGGCAACGGTCTCATATCCTGCCCTGAAAAAAATTGAAGCGGGAATTTGATCAGGCACCGTTTAATTCCTCGCTTCAATTTTTTTTGATATAAGATCAATCGACGCTTGTGACCATAATAAAATATAACCGAAATTAAATCCTGCTTCAATTTTTGGATTTTTTGGCAGTAGATAGTTTGTTGCTGGCGACCATAATCTTCGAAGGACGATTTGCTCTAATTAAGATCACCCCGACGCATCAAAATCATAGGATCGTGATTTTTAATTTCATTACTACAGGGTGACACAAAAAAAACAGAGCTCATAAAAAGTTGAATAATTTCCACAATACTCAAGTAATCCTGTTATTTGTTTCAGATTCATTAAGAAGACGGATTGATCTAAGAGTCTACCACGTGTGAGCTTCGAGATGCCTTAGACTACAGAGCAATTTTGAGCGGCTGTAGAACAAAGAGTTTTTGTGGTATAGAATTGAGATTTTGCAGATGTTGGCTACATAGGTTGTACATAATTCCATAGAATTTTTGTTTCAAACTGAATAAAATTTCAGGAGTTATAAGACTTTTAGTGAGCTCTGTTTTTTTTTGTGTCACCCTGTATATTAGATTTATTCATTTGGTTCATGTGCTAAGCTTTGGTTATAAATATCTAAGTATTGTTTACTAGTTACTTATAATTAATTCATTTATTAAACCTTACAGTATTTTTTATTGGGGTGGCTGCTGGTCACGATCTTTCAATTTAGATTAATAATTGCTTTCAAGATCCTGCTATATACTTCGGAATCTAATTATTTGGGTGCATTTTCTACTAGTGTGGTAGTCCAACTTAGCAAGAATTAAACTCTAATCCTCCAATTTGAATAAACACAAAAATCTATCTCATTAATGGTGCAATTGTGTGGGGCAATCTTCCTTTTATAACTATGATGGGTTGTAGCAAAGTGATTGAACATTTTAAGGTTGCGTCCTGTTGCACAATATTATAAGTCTGTAGGCTGTGACGATAAGCGCGTTCGAAGAGGACGATCAGCGTACTTTTCGCCAACAGTAGCAATATTGTGACTAATTCGCTATTATACGTCGCAGTGGACACGGCGTAATAATTCATTCATTGCTAATAATTTCTCCATTAGGCACCTCAAGATTACCGATTTTTCCGAGCACATTCCGCAAGGTTATAAACGCTCACATCCCTCACAAATGATTCACGATAGGCAGATTTATTCGGAATTGGTATATTCTGAATCTACATCGCTAGTCAGCCTATTCTCTGTGTGCGCTGACGTATCAGACTCCACTGAAGATAGAGCCATCCCACCAGCATCGTCTTTTTTCTCAAGCCTGTTACAGTTTAGTAATGACAACGGTTGCGCTATATGAGAAAATTGTTCGACCAATAACAGAGATAGATATAAGATGTCCAGTTAATTTAAAACTCGCTGATGTGTAGTTGGCAATCTGCTGGACGCAACTCTTGACGCATCTTCAGGATCTTTGAGAATTTATCGTTGATAAACAAAATTTCCGTGAATGAACTTTTTTTTTCGCTTCCCAGAAAAAGATCTCATCGGACGTTACTATTGATAGCCACCAGGAACTTGTAAACATGCACGGTGCAACAAGAGAAAAGCTCGATTTAATGGCAGTTACTGAAAATTTACATCTAATTGCTTCTAAAACTTTACTGTTGAGGTGCTAATTGATACACTAAGCATGGCATAGCAAACCCGTTGTCACGGCATCATTTATGCTCTGGATTTCTTTGTGATTATCAACGTTTCTTACAACTCATCACTGTCATATATAGAGGTTCAGATCATAGAAGTGTCATCAGTTTTTACTCACATGCAATATATATCATATATTAGTTATACACAATAGCGTTATGCTTTTCAGTAGTCTTCACTAGCTTTAATTAAGACACAAAAAACTAAAAACATTTCCCAGATAATGTCGGAAGTCTCTACAACCTAAATAAAATGGACAATTGAAAAAATGATTTAGAGTGGTATTATTTCTTAACATTACCTCCTTCCACTTAGCACATATACTAATATTGCATTCAAATTCCCAAATTCAAACAAAGTGTTCTAATAAAAAACTGTAACAAAATATTATGATAGAAACCACAGAAAATGAAGGTTCCTACAGCCCTTCCCTAGCGAACAAGAGAAGTTCATTCTCAACATCAGAACAACAACAAAATAAACCCCGTCAATAATCATTCTATCTCCAAAATTTCCTACAGGCTAAACAATTAACTATATTTCCTCTCAACCTATAGGTATTGCATTAACTGGGGCTTATTTAAAACCCGGAAAGTGTATGAAAGTAATTGGAACATTTTAGTTGAGCTCTTCAGTTCTCAGCATTAAAATCTTACTTGAATGAAAATCGTACACATCACTTTTCAATATATTTCGGCTTTTGCATCTTTTGTTGTTCGGAATGTCATTCCACAAGAACGGGAAGTGCCGGGCGCCGCACCTGCTTCCTGCCTATTCGTCAAAGAGGTGCAACTGCTTCCTGCCTATTCGTCAAAGAGGTGCAATTGCTTCCTGTCTATTCGTCAAAGAGGTGCAATTGCTTCCTGTCTATTCGTCAAAGAGGTGCAATTGCTTCCTGTCTATTCGTCAAAGAGGTGACTCGGTAACTCTTCTCTGGCGGGCAAGCTGAGCCAGGCCCCCGGTTTGAGGACAGACTGCGTGGCGATGGCACACGAGCGCCTCAGCTTTTCTTTCGTGGGCAGCGTTGGCATCTTCGCCAAGTAGAACGCCATGGCACCGATGAAGGCATCGCCTGCTCCCTGTGTTTAATCGGTTTAAAATCAAACGCTTCTACATGTTGATTATTTCTAAATGGTTAACAAGGATTGTTAATAATTTTCACCGGAATTTCCTCAGTAAATTCATCGAGCGGTGACGAAGAAGTGAATTGGTTGTAAATTAAATATTTTAACAATCTGTTTGTATGAGATGAGGTCGTTTTTATTATGTGCTAAAATTTGCTCATATGTTGTTGATTTTGAGAGAAGGAATTGTTTTAGGACCTAGAGCAATACCTTAAAAATCGTTCAATAACTTGACTAAGCAGTTGTCCCTGCGATAACAGTAATGCTCGCTCCATATAATCTAGTTTTAGAAAAGGAATTTATAACTAACCGTGGTGTCAACCGCAACGACTTTCTCAGCTGGAACCCACTCGTGGTCGGTGCCTGCGGCCAGGGAGGTCAAGTCTAAACTGACTGCACCCTTAGCACCCAGGGTGATGACCGCCTCACGACAGCCCTGCGTCAGGAGAACCTTGGCGGCACTCACGGCATCTGCTACTCCAGAAACTGGGACGCCCGTCAACACCTCAGCCTGGCTGGGCCAGAAGTACATTAGGACGAGTGAGGGAAAGTATTGTTTCTATCATCGCATGATCATTATTCTAACCATAACTCTTCGGTGAGAAATGAAACTATAAAGATGTCAGAAATTTTTCAAATGATTAAAATTACTCAAAATCAACGAGTTTTATATTCCAATATTTTATACTCCAAATTTGTTCAATGTCTGAATAAATTTGCAAAACTTTCATGTTATGTAGACAAGATAATTCATTAATTTAATATTTATAAACAATCTTTATACTCAGGATTAATGCTAACGAACTTCAGATCACATTGAACAAGTAGCAATGCTTTAATTTACGTTAGTCACTCATATTAACGGAGGTATCGTCGTATCGAAACATGCGCCACACATAAAACCGAATTAATGATTTTTATTAGCATATTTAGCAATTTAACTGAAATTTTATGTCATGCACATCATGCATATAAGACCATTCAGAATCCTGAGACGAATTTTGAACGAGCAATTATTGCGGACATTTTACCTCAGTCTCGTTAACGCAAACAATATCCGAATTATTGAGAATTTCTGGATCGAGGTTTGGCACAGCTGGTCCTGCATTCAGCACCGTTACCACTGCAATCAAAAGCACGGAAGCTTAATCACAGTCATCGCCGGAAATAAAATTCGTGTTCCATAGTTCAATTTTTACATATGTCAAATGCACTTCAACGAATACTATTTGTAAGAAAAATAACTATGCTGACCTCCGTTCTGTCTGGCGATGGTAAGGGCTGCCTTTGTAGCATCGAAAGATATTTCATTTTGGCAGATGAGCACTTTGGCGCTCTTGATAACCTCAGCAGCAGCGTTCACATCCTCAACGGTCATCAGTCTGTTCGATCCCGGGATGTTAACAATGCAGTTCTCGCCTGCATCACAAAATGAACCACTCATCCTAGAATCCTTTTACAGATCCCCCGCAGACACCTGCGACCAGCAAATGGCAGACATCATTCAAGCTCTGAACGAGATGAAGACCGACAGCGTTGTCTGGATCGGCGGCGACCTTAACCTGCCTGACATAAACTGGAAAGACAAGACAAAGACCTCGAGGCAGTACCCATATAGAATCAACAAACTTTTCTTGGAGAGGTCACAAACATGAAGCTCCTCCAAATGAACGATAAGACAGGAATAGGCGAGCAAATTCTTGACTAATTTCTCACAAATAGATCAATTCTCATCACCAGATCCTCCACCATCCTTTCACTTGGGAATAACGACATCGCCAGTAGACAGCCGTATCGAGGCAGCAGGTCGCAAGCCCGTAGCTAGGACAGTTGGCGTCTAGAATATAGCGGACTTTACCACCATCAGGTCCAAGACAATGCAGTTTAGCCGCGACTTGTGCCGGTAGACCACGCAGTCTGTCAACGAACTTTGGACGAGCATCCAAAGCCACCTCATAGATATGATGGAACAACATTTTCCTGCCAAGCAGTCGACCGTATAGTAAGTACCACCAGCCCTGAATCAACAACAAAATAAAGATGCAATCAAGACTCAAGTATCGCGCGTGGAGAAGGGCTAAAACTAGCAACAGAATAGAAGACTGGCAACATTCTAAAGGTCTGAAGAAAGAAAGTAGAAGAACCAACAGACAGAGCTACCTGCAATACGTTAAACACCTGCCAGAAGAAGAATCGATCAACCGCCTGTGGAGACTCATCAAGAGCAGAGGCAGTGACACAGTGGGTCTCCACTCAAACGCAACGACGGGCTCACCTTTATTGACAGTATGACCAAGGCCGACATATTGAACGATTAGTTCTGCACTGCCTTTACTCGGGAGAAAATTTTCCAAATGCAGCATACCCTAGATACCAGCCCACACCCTACAATGCCAGAGATTAACATCACAGAGAATAAGGTCTACAAACTACTGGCACGCCTCAACCCAATAAAGGCCCAGGACCAGTTGGCATCCCGTGCCGGCTGCTGAGGGAGGTTGCTGAGGAATTAGCCAATGACCGAGAAGGGAGACCTGAGCCAGGCCGACAATTACCTGCCCGATATCTCTCACTTGCATCTGCTGTAAGCTGCTGGAGCACGTTGTGAGTTCTTCAATCACGAGCCACCTGGACGAACACAAGAGGAACATAAACTCTCAACATGCCTTCCGCAGGGACCGGTCATGCATCATCTAGCAGATTCTGACAGTAGAAGACTTTGCTGCCGAGATTGGCTGGCCAGATGGATACTATATTACCTACTTGACTTTTTCAAAGCGTTCGACATGGTGCTTCACCAGCGACTGCTATCGAAGCTGGGTTTCTATGGCATTCGTGGGAGGGTCAGGCAGTGGATCACCGGTTTTGTCTGGACGAACCGGTCGCGGAGGGGAGGAAGTCCAGCATGGGCCCTGTGCTCTCCGGCGTCCCACAAGGCTCGTGCTTGGACCGACCTTGCATCTTATATATATCAAGGACCTCGGAGAAGGAATCAGCGCCAAAGTCAGACTTTTTGCTGATGACAAGCTCATGTATGTATTCTTATATAAGATCACGGCTTGACGCGCAATGTCTACAAGACGACCTAGAAAAGCAGGAATTGTGGGAGCAAAAGTGGCACTTGGCCTTCAACGTTGAAAAATGCCACCTGCTGTCAGTCACCAGGAAGAGGAAAAGAATGCCCACTACCAACTCACTCCATGGACAGGCGCTGGAACAAGTTCCCAGCACCAAGTACCTCGGCGTTGAAATATCAGAAACTCTGCACTGGGGAAGCACATCGAGACAACTGCAGACAGAGCTAACCGGTCCTGAGCTTTCGCCTACCGAAAGCTGAAGGGATGCGCAGCACAAGTCCAAGTTCACTGCTACAAAGACCTCGAACGACCGGTGCTGGAATATGCATGACCGGCCTGGGATCCACATCAGCAGCACCTGAAGACATCCCTTGAGATAGTTAAACGCAGGGCCCGCATAATCCTAGGTGACTTTCGCCTCACATCCAGTGCCACTGAGATGGTACCGTAGCCAGGCTCAAGTTGGACCAGCTCCATCTGAAGAGAACGGCAGACAAAGCATGCATGCTGTACAAAATGCTGTCCAACCTCCTTCAGAATTGTGCCAAGTCACACGCGCAACAAGGGGGCACCAATAGAAGCTGCAGGTCCGACGCACCAGAAACGATGTCCACCTACACTCCTTCTTTCCTTCGGCCATCATAATATGGAATCCCCGAGTGCAGACTTCGTGGCAGCAACATCGCTACCTGCCTTCCATTGAGCCATACAAGCCTGGCAAAGGGCGGACCATAACTGAAACCATCATAACTGAAACTTTTTTATCGCCTATTTTGTATCAAGACGTTGGTTCTCCAATGTGCTTGCGCACCACCATTGGTAGGGTTTTTCTTCAATAATGCAGCTGCATTATTATGACGGAATGAATGATAAAACACGATAATTAAATAATATCAGTAGAAAACTGAATTTAAAAACCACATACTTAATAATTTAAGTTTGGATGATATTACTGATATCGTCCATAGAATCATATTATACCATATAAAAAAAATTTTTAAATGTAGGAAGTTGTATGGTGCCGTTTGGTACGTCATATACGATGAAAAGTATTTTCCTTCGTAGCAGAGAGGCGGCTCTAACATAGTTCCTAATAAAATTAGCATAGGGACATCTCAATACTAAATTAAATGTATGAATTTGCTCGTAGAATCGCGCAGGATATGTGAAAATATTGTTAACTCTTCAATGAACAACAACGTCGAGGATCATTAATCTCAAGCCCAAAATTGAAAGTGATCACACAGAAGAATACAGTAATGTAATTTTAATACAATGAAACATAGTATACATAAAGGTAATATTTTACATTCTCACCGTTATCATCCACAACAACGTTGGCCACGGCACTTTGCGCAAGAGATGTTCGGGTGACGTGATCGATGTTGATGGTCGTGCGCTTCAGTTCATCCAGGTAGTTGTCACCCACAGCGTCGTGCCCGAGCTGAGTTAAACAATGAACTAATCAAGCATAAAACGATGGTCCTCATTCATGAAATAAATAAATTGAATTTATGAAGATACTATGTGAAGAACATGTAGATGTTAATTGAATCACATGATTAAAATTTCGCTTAATGGTTTACGCAATTAATTAGCCTCCATGGAAAAAAACATGTCCGTAAGCTGTCGTCACGGACAGTTTGAAACAAGAATCAATCCTGGAAAGAACACTAGTATATTTCCGTAACGCTACTAAAATGCCGCACAATAATCCCGTCGTCAGTAACCAGCCCGTGATATAGTTATATTAAAAATATTATGAGCTTTACACCACTTAATTTGACATACTCAACGGGCCATCTGCTCTTGGTTCGTAATTTATTCAATGAACGCGCCCAAGTGCAGTGGTCGGATGCGCGATTACGGAGCGACGACTCACCGAGAGTGACACAAAGTTAAGACGTGACCAAAGACCAACCAGTTCGGTAAACCCAACAACTCCAGTCACAACATACATCATGACTCAAGCGACTCACTCCCATCATCATCATCTCCATCGTCATCCCCTATACCATCATATCATCTTATTCCAAAAACAACAAATAATATGTAAAACAATAAAAAACAAACAAAGTGAAAACGCCTATAGAGTACTAATCTCTTTATTTTGCTAATAATCATGTACTTACCGTTAATCTATACACAGTAAATACTGAACCATAATTCACCCTTCACTCCCTTCCCCATATTTTACCCCAAAACAACTTCAAAAACACACCAGAAATCTATACAATTTAAACAGCGCCTTCTCCGTCAATTCCGGGCTTTTACATTTCACTTCGTATGCTATACCTCCTGTTGTTTTAGTTACTATCTTAGAGGAAGGGTACACAAAACACCGAATGCGGTTAGCGAACAGCCACGAGTGTGATGACAGGCCAGCACTAAGCGATAAATTTACCATGTCACACTACAATCAGTGCACCTCAAGTGAAGATTTGCATGAAACCTTCCAGGCACCATACTAGAGGCAGAGGGTGCGGATCAAATAATCCTTTCTTTCCAACAGGCCTGCCAGCCCGTCCACTGCTAAACAACTAAATGTTGAAACATTTAAGATTGAAAACATTGACTTCATTAAATTACGTTGTCCTAAATGTAGTAGAATCAGCAGAGCTGAGCCAATCACAAATTTCCTTCCTCATGTCTTTCCTACTTACAGTGCGGGTTGGCTTGAATTAAAGTAAATACTAATTGTTTATTTTATTTAACTAAAGATAATTTTCTTATACGTATGCTATAGTAATTCTATGTAGCCGCTCAAAATCAGAAATTTATTTCTAACTGATCTAAGCGAGCAGGCACACATCTATTAATTCTTTATCGGAGCATTTTGGTTGCTCTGTATTCTATACAGTATCGATTCATCCTTAAACTTATATTCACACAGACACTTGAGTTTTCAGTAGGCTGACATAGGTCAGTAGCTGACTAATATCTATTTGTTTTTGATAAACATTACTTCATTTACGAAGGAACCGAGAATAGAAACTAAATAAATTTAAATAAACATTATTCACTGACGGGAATAAAATGGCAAAAAGAAGAAGGTAAATGGTAAAAATAAGAAGCGGTTGAATTAATCGTGATATCACCTTGCCGACAAAGGCAGTGGCAGCTCCGAGTTTGGCCGCCATGAGACACTGGTTGGCTCCCTTGCCGCCGAAGCCTATGCTGAGCCCATGACCAAACACCGTCTCGCCGGGCCGGGGGAACGAAGGTGTCCTCCTGACGAAGGTGTAATAATAATATAATAATAGCGGTTTCAGCGTTTATTAGGCCGTAGGCCTGTCGCCGATTCTTAACATCGCAGAACATCCACAGCTTGTTGCGGTCTCGAACGCGCAACTCACTGCTACAATTCTGCTGTGCTAACCGCCCGGCCTCCTCGCCGATTCTGACCAGAAACTGGCGCACAGAGCTGGGATCGAACCCGCGCCTCTCTGCGCCAATCTTGGTACTATGAACTTTAACCACTGGGACTATATACCTATGATTGGTAATAGTGAGTGTTTCCTAGCATGTATGTTTTTATTGAGTGCAATAAGATGGGGTAAGCGGGTGAAATAAAAGAGTTTTGATAGATTAGTTTTTGTCCGTATGCGTGGTTAATTTTGTTATAGTCTACCCATGAAGTCCAGAAACTGGCCAAGTGAACGATGGCAAAATGCCATATCAAAAGCAGATTAGGGATGATAAGGCGTCGCAACCTGATAAGAATTATAACTTTAAAGAATTAGTGACAGAATTTTAAATCGCTCCGCACCAATTCATGATCCACCTGATTAACACAAGGTGAGTGTATGAAAACTTAATTAAATTTATGATCTAACAGACGCAATTCTGGACTGAATAATTATGGCTAATGTTAAATTGTGATGAAGCCTACGCATACGAAAGGCTAAAACTGTGTGACGAGAAAAAAATGCGTGAATGTTGATTATCCTATTTAGCTTCACCTTAAAATTTTAATCATTAGAAGGAGTTGCACGCAAACCTCGTAAATACCCTTTTTTGCAACCCCAACCCCGTATGCTGATGTTTCACGGTTCAACGAAAATTAAAGTTTAGAGTCTACACTCGAATACGATAAGTATTGTCGACCATATTAATTATTAAATATTAATTATTAATTAATAATTATTAATTATTAATTATTAATTATTAATAATAAATCATCAAATTAGTTACAATTTTGCAACCCCAACCCCGTATGCTGATGTTTCACGGTTCAACGAAAATTAAAGTTTAGAGTCTACACTCGAATACGATAAGTATTGTCGACCATCACACGAATAATACCATATTACATCATTTACATGACATGCAAAAGTATGTATGTTATTAATTGAGGAATGACCAAGCACACACATAAATAGTAACTCTCAGAAATATTTAATGTATAAACAAAATAGGTGAATTTGTTTGCTGTTTGTCTTTGATATCGCAACGTAAGATAAAAGATTGGGAACGAATCTAAGCACTCACGTGATATAATCTGTCACGAGAGAACCAACTACAACGATGTCGACCAACATGCTCACTTATCCAATATACAGAATATACGGCAACCTTCATTATTTGGGGGAGAAGAGCATAAAATTAAAATATTGTGACGAACATCACATTTTTTTAAAACATCTGATTATCCCAAATTGAAATATTTATTAATATTCCAGACAATAAGTAGAAAGAGATACTTCAGCACCTATTATACGTTATTTTGTTACAATAATGGTTTACTAGACCGTCAACCACATTGTGATGATGCATAGGGAAAATTTGCAGCCTTGCAAATTGAGCTGTGATTTTGACAATAATATGGTATGAATTCACGGCTAGAATGAAATGCGACGAACGAAGTACTATCAAGGCTTTAATGTCTCCGCCATTTCTATGCCCTCGGATTAATTTGTAATGGCGAATTATGTACGTACACTTGAAATGAATTCAATGAGATTTTTAACGGCCCGGCAATAACAATAGAAGCTTATACGATGATCTCTACGTAACAATTAGAGTTAATTTACAAGGTTTGAAATTGGCAAAATTAAGAAAAAAAACACGGAAAATCCTGCCCAGGTCCTTCACAATCAATAATTTCCAAAGGTTCTTTAGTAACATCAAAATGGCTGACCAGTATTAAATTTCATTTAACTTTGGTTAGTCATCGTGATGTTAGCAACCGTCTTATACTAAGAAAATAGCAACCGTCTTATACTGAAATTGTATTTAGAATTTTATGCTAACTATTTGTCAGGCCACTGCATCTATCCCATTAAATGCGTAATAACAACATTAACTGCAAAGGATTATCAATTGCGCGCAGTATGCAGCAGTAAATACAACAAGCTGTTGGATACGTTGAAAAAATCTTGCGTGGACGGGGTAACAATGTTCGTTTGATTCAATATCATATTTATTTAAACATCACATGAGTTTCCTTAAATCATTTCTTGCACTCTAAGAGTTTCATAATCGAAAATACCTTAATGCTGCACATAACTTCGCCAATATCCGATAACATGAACGCCAGTTATTTTCAATTTCAGACGCACTTACGTGCAACCACCGCACCGTACACTGCCAGCTGACAACTGAGCTAACTCCGCACGGTGCACTCCGCAGTCCACTCGTGTCGTCCGCATTAGTGGCAGCTGTCGCTTCACAGGCGCCTGGCAGTCAATTGACTTCAGTGCCAAGGCCAAACATGCAAAATAATCGGGTGCTGCCTAAAGGTGTGTGTACATGGATCAATTTTCCGGGGTAACGGACTCGGGATATTCATCTCAGCTTGAAATAATAACTAAACAATAATAATAACCTGATAATAACCTGATAATAATCTCAACTGATAATGCAACTTCAAGCCTGAAATAAATTGTCATCTCCAGGTGTGACAACCGACCTGTGTGAGGTCATTTACTACACCTCAAAGAAGACATCATCATCATTTTAATAGTAATAATTTGCACCCCATCCCGCTGAACTTTGCCAATAGTTTGTCTAGCGACTTGCAAAAACAAGGCAATTACTAGCTATCGCTATTTTATTATCTGTAGCCGCCACCAGCGTGTCTTAGAACCCACAATCTGTTTCGGTCTCTCGCAGTTTTCGCATACCAGCCATCAATAGATCATGCATGATTCATTCCTGAAAATAACTTACCAGTCATTCGTGAATTATAAGACACCTTTAAAATGAATCTTACTAGCTAACTAATATACATGTAGCTTTTAAGATAAGGCCATCAGGACTGTCGCAGATTCAGAACATCACAGAATTTTTACAGATTGCCGAGAGCCCCGAACACGCAACTCGCAGCATCATAGCCTTGGTGATTCTACATCTTGGTCATCCGCGGAGCAATTGTATACAAATTGATACTACTAAATGTTAGTTACCTCTTGCTACGACTTTTACTTGAATTTTGAATCCTTTTGCTTATTGCGACTCCATTAATAATCTTCAATTTTAATTGGCTCTGAAGACCCTGGAACTTACCGTCCATAGATCTTGGATTGTGATAAAAATTAACGAAATACACGAGAAATATTATTGATATAGACTAAATTTAAAAAACTAAAAAAAACGTATGAATTATTTCATTCAATTGTATCGTAGTTGAAGGTAGCGAAACGAGTTAAACGTTAAGCAAATGTATTAGGGGTGGATTAAATTTGAACTTGAACTTGAAACGCGGGTGTTTGTGCATTTGCATTTTAGTTAAACGTTCGAGTTGTAAACATAGTGTTTGATGAATTCTTTAAATGTATTCATGTTGGTGTGTTGAATGAAATTGTTCCATAGTACAATTTTTTAGTTATAGCCTTGCTGACCATCATTGTTCGGCAGGACCGACTCTTTGCTCGGCCAGAAAATACGGCTTCTAGCTAGGCCGCCCTCGACGATACTTCAAACTTCAGTACCTGCACCATTCGAGTCTCAACCCGATTTCAGTAGTCATTGCTGTGAACCATCAGTTCAGTGCCCATAGAGCTATGCACCATCAGTTCAGTGCCACATCGTGCTGTGCACCATCAGTTCAGTGCCCATCGTTCTATGCACCATCAGCCCAGTGCCCCATCGTGCTGTGCACCATCAGCCCAGTGCCCCATTCATCGTGCTGTGCACCATCAGTTCAGTGCCCATCGTGCTGTGCACCATCAGCCCAGTGCCCCATCGTGCTGTGCACCATCAGTCCAGTGCCCCATCGTGCTGTGCACCATCAGTCCAGTGCCCCATTGTGCTGTGCACCATCAGCCCAGTGCCTCCATCGTGCTGTGCACCATCAGCCCAGTGCCTCCATCGTGCTGTGCACCATCAGCCCAGTGCCCCATCGTGCTGTGCACCATCAGCCCAGTGCCCCATCGTGCTGTGCACCATCAGCCCAGTGCCCCATCGTGCTGTGCACCATCAGTCCAGTGCCTCCATCGTGCTGTGCACCTGATTAGGCTAAGTTTTTTTTCCTACGTAGTGGTTGAACTTTGATCTCAACGTAACTCTTGATTAAGCTATGTTTTCTTTTATCGTAGTGAATGAATGACTGGAACTATCCTTGCTCGGAATCTAAGATCGCGAGAGTATGTATTTATCGTTTATTACATTCAGAAACCGCATTAAAAAACGTATCTTTCACAGCCTCAACGTTCTTAATTACTTAACTGTCAGGTAGGTTTCCTAAATTGCTTTCCGAGTGGTGCGAAGGACGCGATGAGGAGTTCTCGATCTGGCAGCTACGATTTGACAAAGAGAATTGACACAAAGGGTTATCTCAACTCTTATATACTTAGAAAATCCTATCTTGATACGGAGCTGGGCATGGTAAAAATGGCGAGTTCAAAAGCCTACTTGCAAAGCCCAACACAGACCTAGCAATAATTAGCACACAGTCATAAACAGTTGGTTCTGACACCGGCCTAACAGTAATACAATTACATAGCGAGGTTGAACAAAAGTAGCTACATGGAAACGCTATTCAATCAATCACCGCTATTCAATCAATCAGTTCAGTGCCCCATTGTGATGTGCACAATCAGTTCAGTGCCCCATCGTGCTACCAAAATAGGGTAAAGTGCAATATATAGTTTTCTTACTATCGGCTCCAACCACAGTTTCAGAAAATTTGTTAGATAAAAAACGTTTGATTTTACTAAACACAAGGCACGATGGAAACCCTTTCAGCTGAAATACGTACATTACGAATGAATTCAAATTTCAAATGCATATCATGGAAGACGGAACAAATCCTATAGCCGGAGTATATCAATATTTTGAGACTATTCAATTTGAAGGGAAACCAGCAGAACCCAAAAGAAGCTCATACCCAGACAGGTAAATGTTGGTTTTCGATCAATGGATGTCTGAAAACGACCGCAAGATTTAGTTAATTTACAATAATGAAACGGCAATCTATTGTTGATTTCTAATTCCTTAGTGAATTTTATTGTGGGATGTTTTAGGTTTAGATAATCAAAGAAAAAGGCCGCATGAGAGGGGTGCTTGAAATCAATATACAAAATGTAAAAAATTGGCTTAAAATCTATGGGACAATCAGCCAACAGCGAAACCTCATAGTATAGTATAGTATAGTATCTTCGGCATTAAAGAATAGGCCTGGATAGGCCTGTCGCCGATTCTTGTACTTTTCTTGACTAGACTGGCCTTACGGACGGTAGATTTAAAATCGCTTCTAGTGGAAGACTGACGTACGTGAGTTGCTCTCTTTAAAGTTTAAACTAATTAATTTTGTATCTGATTTCATAGTTTGTAGGTTACTTTCACTTAGCTTAGGAAGATGGGGAAGGTAAAACTAAAAAAAAAATCAATAGCCATTCATCTGGATTCTGGATCGACTGATGACGATGCAGACTTGGACATGTCTCACTAACAGTATTACAGTAACAGTCTCGGTCAATACCTACGGGCTACGTCCTGCCCGTCGCCGTAAGGGTTAGCGGAAATACATACAGCAAACCAGAAGATACATTTTGATTTCTGACCATGCTGCAGAGGGTGGATGCAGCGTCGCCAACATAGTGGCAATTGGCAAAGCAGAGAGTTTTTTAGACTCTGCCTGACTGCCTCAAGTTCATTTTTGAGTCCTATAAGTAAACCAGTAAAGTATCCTGGATACCAGCAGTCCAGCATTATCATGTAAAAGAAATTGGGGTATTATTGCAGATTAACTACATCCAAAAAAAAGGGTGTTTTTTTTTTGAATTATATGTTTTTTGGGGTGTAGATTACGAATCTGAAATCCATTTTTGGCGGTCGGCATCGGAAAACCGATTTTTTTCCGACCCAAAAATCGCGCTAAAAATGCCTAAAATCTGCGAAATCGGCGAAAAATCGGACGAAAATGTTACCCGTTGCAGTGCAACGGGTANGAACAAATTGAAACAAAATGCACGCCAGAAGCGTTCAGAATATTTAAGAAGCGTTCAGAAGCACGCCCCCATCGCTTCTTGCTGCCGTGGTTGCCGAGTTTCGCGCTCCTTCAACTTGCTTCGCCATCACAAATCCTGTCTCTTATACACATCTAGATGTGTATAAGAGAAATGCTGCGAACA